GGGAATGCTGGGTCTGAAAATACATCTTGAGACAAAGCTGAGGGAAGACTGAGTCATGGAAGCAAAGCCCAGTCTACTTTCCTCCCTTCCTTCCCCTAGCAGCTCTTTGGTAGGGCTAACTTCTCTGCCAGAGAACCTTCCCCAGAGTCTTCATGGGCTAGAAAAGAACCCATAGAGGTCAAGAGGTCCAGGCCACTTAAATGTTAGATGCTATGCTTTTGTTCCTTGTGCGCAGCCAAGTGAGGAAGAAAGCTAGGAAACCATCTTCTTAGAATCAAGGACTTTAGCAACTGGAAGATGCTTAGAATCCATTGTATTTGGCTCCTTCATATTAAAAGTGAGGAGGCTTGGGACACCTGGGAGGCTCAGTCGGTTAAGCGGCTGCCTTCGGCCTGGGTCATGATCCCAGGGTCCTGGGATCGAGTCCCACATCAGGCTCCTTGCTCAGCTGGGAGCCTGCTTCTCCCTCTCTCTCCCTCTGCTTGTGTTCTCTCTGTCAAATAAATAAAATCTTTAAAAAAAAGTAAAATAAAAGTGAGGAGGCTTGTCTTCTCTAAGGTTACACAGAGAAGATAGACCTAGAATGCAAGTCTCTGGGCTTGCAGCCTGATGCTTTAATTTGTCACCCAGATGTCATCCAGAAGAAAAACCGAGCCTTTCTCTCTCCTCACTTGAGAGTGGCCAGGCCTGCCTGCCAGAGGGAGTCTAGGGCAAGTCCTGTGAGCTGGGTTTGCTGCTGGAAAGAAGCAGCTTCCTCCTCTCTCAGCAGCCTAGGCCAGAGATCTGGCTCCATCCTTTGTTCCCTTTGCCCCTGGGCTCAAGGCAAGACTTCTGGTAGAGACTCGGGCAGTATTCTTTCCAGGCCCTTGTAACGTTAGAGCTAGAGCAAGTAAAGGGGGCCGGGAAGTAGGGAAATGCATCTTCTGAGCCGGAGTGGAAAGCCCTTTCTGATTTGGTGCCTCACTTTGAAGGGAGGGTTGGATTCTGCTGCTGAGGAGTGACTGGGAATGAGGAGGGTGAAGTTGGTAAGGAAGTGCTCTGGGAGAGTTCCCTACCCCCTTTTGGCTTCTTCTCTGCTGTTATTAACATCCAGAGTAGGTACCCTAGGGGCGCCTGGCTGGCTCAGTCAGTAGAACACAAAACTCTTGATCTCGATGTCGTGAGTTCAAGCCCCATGTTGGGCCCCACACTGGGCCTAGAGCTTAGTTAAAAAAAAAAAAAAAGTACCCTAACTACAAAGGGATAAGGATTCTGGGGGCTACAGCCTAGGGAAAATGAGAGCCAGCTTGATGGTCAGGAAGAGGGTGGAAGTGATGTCCCTCCTCCCATAGCCTCTCCTTGTCCCCTCAGGATGGGGCCCAGCCCTTCATACACAGCTCAGAAGAGGCTCATGGAAAGGAGGGTGTAGGCTCTCACCCTGGGCATTACAGTTGCCCCGTGATCCCACAGAAGAGGGAAACCTGAGTCTGGAGGCCAGGCAGACCGACATTTAACATTCCCTTCCATGCCCTGTGCTCCGTGTCAGCCTGGAAACAGGTAGAAGCCTCCGGAAGACTGGTCAGGTGGTACCTGGAGCCTGGCCCTTCTGTCAGCCACCCGAGTCTCACATGTATCACTGACTTGGCTCCAAGTTCACTGAGGTGAGAGTTCTGTTCTTTACCCAGAGCCAGAAGCTAGAGCTATGGAAACTGAAAGGCATGACTCTTTATCATTATTCTTTTTCTCATGCCCAGAATGCTACCCAGCCAGTCGGTCACAGGCTGACAGACATACTCATGGGGCTCCAGAGGCTCAAGCATGTTGGGTTGGTCTGCGGGTGTTGAATACTTTCTAAGGAGGTACCAAATTGGACTTGGCCAGAAGCATGGCCCTGGGTGAGTGTGGAAAGCCTTGCATTTCCGTGCTGAGTGCTGTTGGAGGACTTGGCAGGGCTCCCACGGGGCCACCGTTCTGATGAGCATTCTGAGCCCCTGTCTTGCTGTCAGTGGGTTGGGTTGAGGACCACTTTGCTGTGTTTGGCTTGCCTGCCTTCCTGCTGCTAGTTCCTCAGTGTGTGGGGGTTAGGCTTGGTGCCATTGGCACAGCCTGATTCTCAGGTCAGGATGGCTCAAGTCACATTGGCTTGGGGGTCCCACCTGGCCCAGCTGTCCACAGCTCTTCAAAGATGAGGAGAGCGCAGGGCTGGCCCTCAGACAAATGAGTTCGTCAGCATTCTACACACAGCTGCATGTACACAGTAATTGGAGAGGCAGACGTCTTGGGGAGCAGGAGGCACAGATCATTCTGACTCACTTTGTCACTAACAGGCTGGCCGCTCGGTGAGCAGCAGGGGTCGATGCCTGGTGTGAGCCTGTGCCACTCTGGAGATGGAAGTGCTTAAGCTCCCAGGATAGGTCTGGTGAGAGGCCCACCGAAGACCGCCCTGGACTAGTCTGGAGCTGCAGGGGGCCTTTGTTTGACTGGGTGTGGATGTGAAGTGGGGGTGCCTCTGATCCATCCATGTTTAGGTTCCTGGCTTGTGAGTCCAGCTTCTCCATTGTTTATTCTGTCATCTGCAGAGGAGTTGCCCCTCTTCTGTCTTGGCTGGAGCAAGGGGCAGGGGCAGAACCCATGTGCCAGCTCTGTTTGGCTCGCCTGGGCTGCCCGTTCTGTCTTTGGGCTGGCCCACCAAGAGGCCCACTGAGCTGCACTGTGTTTCCCAGTGATTTCGCTTTTTCCTGGAGACCCAGAAGAGCTCGTGGGGCAGCGCAGGTATTCCCATGACCCAACCTGCTCAGCTTTTAGGTTTTGCTCTGTCCATCTGCCCCATTATGCCCGCCTCTTTCCATCTCTTTTAAGTGAGTGACAGGGGCTACAGTGAGTGTCTGTTGTTTAGATGGGCTGGCCTCTCGTGTTCAGGTGGCAGCAGCAAGCCATGAGGCTTTCTTGAACTCTGACCCAAAACCCGCTGTGGCAACTGTCTAGTCCAGTCATGCTGTATGTCAGCCTCAGTACCGGAGCCCCGGGCTGTGCAGGCCTGCAGGGAAACTTGGACCAGGCTGTGTATGAAGCCGTCTGCCCCTCTGTGCCCCCTCACTGCTCTCAGCAAGGTATTCATGGCTTCCCTGGCTGCGTGTCCCGAGGCCCTGACTGCCCTCCTCCTGAGGACCGTTATCTCCCCAGGAGTCACTGGGAGCAGGCCCATTGGTGACGAGGACCCTGTCAGGTGGCTGTTCGGGAGTGTGGTCTGACATTTCCTACCAGGTCAGTTTAGTGGAAGTTGATATTTGCCTTCCAAAAAGCAGGTTAGGGTAGCATCCGCAAGTAGCCCCACCCCTTCTTCAGGACTCCAGAAGAGTGTTCTCCTTGGTGCCCCTTCCACCCCCTGTATATAAGTGGGGAAGGACATTGGGGAAGAACTGGAGGTCAGGGAAGCTGAACTGGTGGGGGGGCATCTGGGTGGCTTAGTCAGTTGAGCATCTGCCTTCAGCTCAGGTCATGATCCCAGGGTCCTGGAATCGAGCCCCACATCGGGCTCCCTGCTCAGGGGAGAGCCTGCCTCTTTCTCTGCCTCTGCTGCTCCCCCTGCTTGTGCTCGGTCTCTCTCTCTCTCTCTATCAAATAAATGAATAAAATCTTAAAAAAAAAAAAAGCTGAACTGGGGGTAGCAGTAGTCAGTGTGAAATGTATCTGCTGAAGGGGTGTGCAGCTGCCCCAAATGCGGGCTCTGAGATACTCCTGAGTCCCCTTGGAGCGTGAGTTCAGGGGTCCCCCAAGGCGAAGGGCATCTTTAGGTGGAACAGGCAGATCTCATTTGGCAGGAAGGAGGGTGATGGTGCCTGTGATATCCCAGCCAAACCTTCTGCAGCAGGCTCAACAAAGGTCCTAGCTGCCCACCCTGTGGGAATATCCGAGCACATGCCACAGTGCCCCCAGAAGACAGGGACTCAGAACGCCACTGTGTCCGCCCTCCTCCAGCAGAGGGGCTCGAGGGCCTCTGTATGCCTGGCACCAGGCACGGGGGCTCATCCAGCTTAGCATGGTCTAATGGGAACGAACAATCAACTTGCAATCACTGGAATAATTGGTTAGCTCTGGGGGCTAAGAGAAAACCTGAGTAAGTGTCCTTTACCCTGAGAACCTAAGGGCTCAGCCAGGTGAATGTCTGTACAAGCTGTCCAGACTGAGGCCCTGGGACAGACAGCTGCTTGGCATGTGGCTGAGATGAGGCAGCCATGGGGGCGTGTAGCAGAGCAGGCTTGGTGCAGTGTCTCCCTGAAGACAAAAGGTACCAAAATGAGGCTGGTGCAGAGCAGTGCCAGCCCCCCCCCCCGCCCCGCCCCGTGTGGTTCCAAGAGGTCATGAAGCCTGGAAGGAAGGTCACCTGGTCCCGCCTGTCCCCCAAGACCCCCCCTACCCTCTCAGCAGATAGAGAAATCTAGTTGCCTTGAATTATTTCCTTTTCTCCCCATGGCCGAGAGGCAGAGGCTGATGAGGGGAATGCAGTCGTCATCCATCTCCACTTTGTCAGTCGCACGGAGGATGGGTCCTCTCTTTAAAGACTAGGAAGTTTCCTGCTAAGTGGCCTGGTATGGCCATTCTGGGTTGGGACCTTAAGTCTGGCTCATGATATGGTGGAAAGTTTGGGTCATTCTCTTTACATCCCCCTGAGTTATAGTGATCCTGGGGTAGCTGGGGGGTCTTGATAAGGGCCACCTTCCGGAGACAGGCTTTGAGTCCAGGGCACTTAGAAGTTTGCTGCTTGGGGAGGGGAGCAGGTCCTTCTCCTGTTTGCCGTGTGGACTCCTTACTCAGAACAGCCGCTCCTTGGTGGCGTGGGCCAGTGTTGGGTGGGAGGGGGAGGCCCAGAATGCTGCACTCGGGAGGAGCCGGGCAGGGCCTTTCTCCAGGGGGAGAGTGTGGGAATGCTGGACGGTTCTCAGTGCCGTGCTGGTGGCATCGTCAGGATGGGGAGAGCAGGGTTGAGTGCTCTCGCTCTAATGCTTGTCCTTGGCCTCTAGCCCTGGCCCAGTGTGTCCAATCTGGCCAAGGACTTCATTGACCGCCTGCTGACAGTGGACCCCGGCGCCCGCATGACTGCGCTGCAGGCCCTGAGGCACCCATGGGTGGTGAGCATGGCAGCCTCTTCATCCATGAAGAATCTGCACCGCTCCATCTCCCAGAACCTCCTCAAACGTGCTTCCTCACGCTGCCAGAGCACCAAATCAGCCCAGTCCACGCGTTCCAGCCGCTCCACACGCTCCAACAAGTCGCGCCGAGTGCGGGAGCGGGAACTGCGGGAGCTCAACCTGCGCTACCAGCAGCAGTACAATGGCTGAGCCGCGGGGCTGCGGTGCGGACAGGCCGAGGTCCCAGCTTGGCTGCGCGTTGCCGGGCCCCTGGGGCCCCATGCCCTCTCTGGAGATGAGCCTGTATGGCCAGTGGCAGGTGAATGGCCCCCACCCCTTCCCTGTCCCTTCAGCAGCCCCCATCCTCATCCTGGGCCTGAGACTGGTGTGAGAGTGGAGGGAGCCTAGGGGTCTGTGAGCGCTCTGAACTGGGAGCCTGGCCTGGCACCAGTGCTCTTTTTGGTGGGCAACTGCTCTGCTAGAAGTTGGGGAAGGGGTAGGACATGGCCTTTAGGCTCCCTTACCCCTTGGCTCTTCCCCAAGACCAAAGAGGCATGTAGTGCCAGGCAGAGGGTGTCCTGTGGTCCCAGGACTCTTTGGGACAGTTACTTCTGAAACCCTCTTCACTGAACCTTCTTTGGCCCCCCATATTCCATTGCATCCTGATCTGTGCCCCAGTGAGAGGCCCAGGGAGGCACAAAGCTTGTGCCTTAGCTGGACTCTCAGCCCCTGGCTAAATCCAGACAGTCTCCCACTTCCCACCCAAGATCTGCCTTCCTTCGTGGTGCCTCCAGGGACCCCTCCTGGCCTCAGGACTGGCTAGAACCTCTGATGGTAGGGCCATGGCATGGTCCTTGGCCCTTCTGGACTATGTGGCCATGTTGGTAGCAGGCTTGCTCCAAGCTCCAGCCTCTCTCTGCCAATGAGAGACCTCCTGCCCACCAGCCCACTGCTTTCAGTGCCTTCTTTGCAGAGCCCGCTATACACTTCCCCTCCCCCCCGCCACTTGGATGCCCATTCTATTCCCTGGGTGCCTCCTTCCCAACTGTGGGGAATTAAAGGGAGCCCCACTGCTGCTACCTGGGGAATGGGGGCACCGGGGCCAAGGCAGGGGCCAGGGGCTTCCCAGGGAGCGCCCCATCAAGATTCTAGTATCAGCTCTGGTTCCACCCTTGGTACTGCCCATTGCCCCTTCCCTTCAGGCTCTGCTGTACCCTCGTCGAAGCTGCATGAAGGCGCCATCTAGTGTCTGACATGAGTATGGGCAGCCTAGGACTGACCACTGCGCTCATCCTTCATCCTCTAGAGAAAGTGGGAAGGAGCTGCTGTAGTGAGGAAAGGTCCCCAGGCTGCTCAGCCCTCCCCTTCTGCTGAGCTGCTGCGCAGCTCCAGTTGGAACTTAGCCGTACTGTGTGACCTGCCTCTGAACCCTGAGTGCCTGGGGCCCTGGTCTTCTCACAGCTGGCCTTGCCTGGTCCAGCCTGGCCCTGCTTCCTTTCACAGCATTACCCTTCCAGCTTGGGCTCTGCTGCATCTCACGCTGGAGGGGGCCCCTGCAGGAGGTGGGTGGAATTGGGTGGCTGCTTTCCCAGAGGCCTGAGCCAGACCATCCCGATGTCAGTCATGGTGCCTCCCCTGCACTCCCCACCCCAAACCAGGCTGGAACCCAAGTCCCCTTCCTCCACAGCTGCTTTCAGTGGGTAGGAAGGAGCTGGGGCCCAGCTTCAGCCTTAGCTAGACTGCAGGGCCTCTGCCAGCAGGGAGGGATTGGCCCTCACTGTTGCTCCCAGTGGGTAGCCTTGGGTCAGGCCCTCCTCTTTCTGCATGTGCCACCTTCAGTGAGAAACAAAGCCAAAGAGACCACTCTGGGCCAAGCCAGTTGTGCCTTATGCATCTCCTCCCATCCCCAGTGCTCCTGGCACAAGGCAGCAGAGAGCCCAAGTCCCGTGGCCTCAGAATTCCCCCCATTTCCCCAAGTGCCTCGGGGGCCTGAAGCCCTGGGGATTTATTTCCTCTCTTGTCCAAGGTAGGCCTGGTCCTAAGGGTAAGACAGAGGGCATTTGGAGATTGGGCCTTTGATAGGCCCACCTGGGCCTTTATGCCATGGACCGTGGCTGGAGAATGTGCAGTTATTTATTTTGTGTACTCCGGTTGTAAATGTATCCTCTGTATTCAATAAACAGGCTGCCCTCCCCAGGGAAGACTGCCCATCCATTCTGACAGCCCAGGCTCCTTGCTGTGGACCAGGGGGTTACCTAGGAAGAGGAGAGATGGGGGGAGCCTGGCCTGGGCATGGCTACTCTAGGAAGATCTGACTCAACATCTGCCATGCCAGAAGTCAGAGTCCCACGTGGGGAGGGGGACTCCCGAGAGCCTCTCCTTTCCTTTGAAAGGACAGACAAGAATACACAAGAGGACAGAGCATGGGGTCTTTATTGGATTGAGATGGGGAGAGGGCCTGTGGTAGGCTTAGTTGTAGGCTGTGACCTGGTTGATCCAGGTGCTGAACTTACTAACCCGAGTGTATATGGCAGGCTGGCGCACGTTGCAATTGCTGGTACCCCATGAGACGATGCCAATAAGCACCCATGTGTTCCCTTTCTGGCAGACGAGAGGGCCTCCGGAGTCTCCCTGAGGGAGGGAGAGGAGAGTAGTCAGCGTGGGGATGCGGGGGTGCCACAGGGCGGTGCAGAGGACAGACAGGGGGCTGATGCTCACCTGGCATGAGGAGGCCCCTGCGCCGCCTGCACAGATCATGGAGTCAGTGATGCGTGAGCCCCAGTACTGCCTGCACTGATTCACGGTGACCAGAGGCAGAGCCACCTGCTGTAAGCGTGCTGGGGTCGTATTGCCTGGGGGCCAGAAGGAGATGGTTAGGCCCTGGATGACTGCTGCCCACCCTGGCCCTCTCACCCAGATCTTTGGCCCAAGTTCCTACCCACGCCTCTGAGGCGTCCCCAGCCAGTGGTGGCGCACTTGAGGCCCGCAGGCAGCGCCTCATCTGGGGAGGCCAGGCAGACTGGTGAGATGCGTTTTGTGTACTGGGCAGGGGAGGCAAGCTTCAGTAGTGTCAGGTCATTGTTTAGGGTGGTGGGGTTCCAGGAAGGGTGTGTGATGGCCTGTGGAACCAGGAAGGGGTCAGGTAGGATGGTGGTGGGCATAGGCCCCCCAGGGTTGATGGTTGCTTAGGGGGCTAGCCTAGGGCATGCCCTGAATTCCTCATCCCCAGAGCTCCCCCCCACCGCCCCGTCCACTCTTCCTTTCCATGTCTGTAGCCTAGATACTCACCTTTGAGATGGACAGGACCTGCAAAGGCTCAGCTTTGGATGATCGGTCGTACTCGCCCAGGACAACAACGTGGCGGCCAGGGCTGCAGTGAGAGTGGGGTTGGGCAACCGCACGGAGAGCAGAGTGACAAGAGAGGGGCATCCGGGGGAAGGAGGTGGGGAGAGGTGGGCTCGGGGGCAGGTAGAGTGGGAGTACTCACCTGACATTGCAGTGGGCAGCAGTGACCACCCAGGACTGGCTGATGAGGGAACCCCCACAGAAGTGGAAGCCACTTCTGTCCTGGAGTCACGGGTCAGAAGTAGGGGTGGGTTCAGGCTGCACCTAGGCATGAAGCACCTGGTACCCTGTCCCACCCCTGGGGTGCATGTACCTGCAGAGACACCTGCCAGGGCCAGGAGCCCGACACTGCATTCTCTCCATTGACAATCCTCTGGCTGAAGCTCAGTACCGGCTTGATGGCAGGAATGCCGCAGCCTGGGCAATGGGCGGGCTGGTGAGGACCTGCCTCCTACACCCCCACAACCCCACCCATCTCTCCCCACCTCCTCCTGGGTCCAAATTGAGAGGGCTCATCACTACCCCTTCTCACCCTGAGCATCTGTAGGTATCTTGGTTACCTATGTCCCCAAATTCTGTCTGTTTCTCTAACATCTCTCTCCATCCTTACTTCCCATTGTTCCCCAACTTCACCCCCACCCTCCAGCTCAGGCCATTTTTCTCCCTGACCCCTGGGATAGTCTCTTCCCTGGCTTCGCCACCTGCTCCAGTCTCAACAGCCAGAGGCTTCTCCCTAAACTACACGTCCAACCTTCACTTCTCAGCTTTGGCTCCTAGCTCTGGCCTGATCTCCTGTCCCATTTGTGAGACCAGTCCCTGCCCACCTCTTACCCCCACCCCCCCAACCCTGGCACATCCTTTTTCCTTTACCCACTCTGTTCACCTGGTTCCCTTCCAGGCAGTCCAGTTCCTTCCCCGAGCCCCTGGGCAGGAAGCCTGGGCTCGTATTAGGAGCCAGGTTGTTTTAGGGCTGGTCATCAGGGCTAGTCCAGGCCCACTCACCCCAGGAGGAGCCAAGGAGGACCAAGCTAAGGGTCAGACTGAGCAGCAGCATTGTGGTAGGCATGAGGTTGAGAGCTGGACCTGCTTTTATGGTTCTCCTCGTCCTTGGGCAAAAGTCCCAGGCCTGAGGCCAAGCCAGCTGTGTGGGCTCAGCCCCCTCCCATGCTCTGGTCAGGAGGAGGGTCTCTAGGCCAAGGTCCTGGACCCAGGCCTGGACTTCATCAGATAGAGCCCAGGTGTGAGGCTCTCACCTCCACCCCCCAAAGCCTGGTCTCTGATTGGCTCCCTGAACCACTTCACATCCCAGGTGTTGAGTGCTGAGTAGCAAGGGCTTACGGTTAAGTTAGGTCTGTGTGGACTACCTGGTGGCTGGGATCAGGGAAGTTTCTCAGGGCTGTCAGGGGCACCAGACAAGAGGCCTGCTCAGCACCCAGGGGTGTTCGTGATGGGTGGAGGGCTAGGGCCATGTGGTCAGGACAGGGGTTCTGGCAGGTCACAAATCTAACAGCATCTCAGTGATTTCTCACCAACTTGGAACAGGAGTCAGTTTGCCCAAAGGGATGGTGACTCTCCCACCAGCACATAGTGCGTTTGGACCCAGACCTTCATCTGGTTCCGAAGCCTACATTCTTATTGATGAGATGACACCTGGGAGGGGCCTGGCACACAAGAGGGTAAGGTGTGAGCCCTTGGTGACTGGCTGACCCTGGATGTAAGTTATGGGTGCAACGGTGACAGCCATCAAATCTCTGACAGCCTCCAGGCCTTGGGGCTCCCGTGGGCAAGCTCTTGGTGTCCACAGCCCATCTGAGGAAGAGAAGACAGCCCTGTGTGCAAATCTGCAATGGGTAAGTTGGCTGGGCTCCTAGAAGTGTGGGGGGTGCCAACTGACTCCAAACTTCAGTCAAAAAAAATAAGATGCGCTAATGGTTGAACAGAGGAATAGAAATGTGATCAAGCAAACATAATAACTGTAAAGTCGATTGTGGGTATATAGGTGTTCAATGCAATTCTTTCAACTTCTATGTTTAAAAATCTTCATAATAAAATACTGGGGGGAAAAGCACAAGCAGGGGCGCAGGGAAGTCCAGCTAAGAGTAGACCCTCCCCAGGGGTTGGGCAGACTAACAGTTCTGAAGCTCCAGTGGAGTCAGCCGTTCTGAGGGCAGGATGCTCCTGCCAGCACGTGGCACCTAGGCTGGCCTCAGTGGGTGCTCAGCAATAGTTTGCTGGATAAATGTGTCATGTCATCTCTCTCTGCATTAGCCCTGTGACGCCTGTCAGCCCAGCAAACTTGGGAGGTCATTCCCCCCTCCCTTCACGGCTCAGCACATGCAAGTAGAAGCCCTGTTTGGTGTTAGCACCTCAGGGTGTGCCTGGTCATGGGAGCGGTTGCACAGATAGTGTTGCAGGGGTGAGGAGTGTTCTGTGAGAACTTGCCCTTGGAGTCAGGGAGCAGCTCCTCTATCAGCATTGAGGGCTAACTCTGTGGGGTCCATGGGGGCCTCCTTGACAGAGGTGTGGGCTTTGCCATGGGACACTGATGAGCCAGGTAAAGGCTCTAGGTGGGGGCAGTGTGTGGGGCCTTGTGGGTTTTACAACAGTCCCCAGTGGACTAGAGGGCAAGAGCAAGGTACTGGAGTGGTAGGGGAACCTCTGGTGTAGAGAGTCAGGAGGGGGCTTTCCATCTCGAGCTGCAATGCTTGCCAGGGCTGGGGTTCTGGAGGAGTAGATGCCTAAGGCGATGGGTAAAGGGCACCTCTTAGGCCAGGCCCTGGAGCCATGCAGGGAGTGGCCCCTGCAGGTGTACATTAGCCACAGAGTCCTGATGGCTGCTTGTCCCCCCTCCACCCAGGAACAACACAGCCATCTGTTTAGGTGTTTGGGTTTTTTAAAGATTTTATTTATTTGACAGAGACAGACACAGCGAGAGAGGGGAACACAAGCAGGCGGAGTGGGAGAGGGAGAAGCGGGCTTCCCGCAGAGAAGGGAGCCCAATGCGGGGCTTGATCCCAGGACCCTGGGATCATGACCTGAGCTGAAGGCAGATGCTTAACCGACTGGGCCACCCAGGCACCCTGTTTAGGTGTTTTGTATTTCCTGGGTTTATTCCCCCCTTGTTCCAAGCCCTAAGCATCATCCTACTTCACTCCACCTCCATGGCCTGCACGGTTTCCTCCAGCAGCTCCAGGGTCAGTGGCTTCACTGTCTGGGACAGGACAGCTGTGGTCCCAGGGGCAAAGCGGTAGTGGCTGGGCCTGGGAGAGGGGAGGGACGGCCTCTCAACTTGGGCCCATCATGTGGTCCATCCTCTTCTTGCAGCCCCCATCTCCCCTGCTACTGCCCCATCCTCCCCAGCAGTCCCCCATCTCCCATGCTCCCACCTCTCTATGGGCTTTGTGGGTGAGCTTAATGTTCTCAGAAGCTTGGCACCGGTCCGCATTATCACACATGCATCCACACTGCCCCCAGAGCCCAGGTCACCCAGGATCCCTGCAGTGACAGCTTCCACTAGCAGCTCCTGCGCGGCCTCCAGCTGTGATGATATGTGTGCATGAGGCCTGATGGACCCTTCTGGTATCATCTTCAGGCTACAGCCTAGAGGTTTTGTTCATCTCAAAGCCCAGATTATTTACCATTTGCTTATACCCAGACTCTTCTGTTTCCCTATACCCCCATCAACCCCAAGCTCCCTTGCCCTGGTCTCTGCCTCCCTGTCTTCACAGATGCTGTGTTCCCAGTGCCCCATCTTCACAAACTTCTCTTGAGTCACTTAAATTTGTGGTTCTGCTTCCAGTGCTGTCCACCCAACCAATGTGGTCTTGGTCCCCAATCTACTGGCTCACCCCTTTTTCCCTTTTGGGCCTTAGGCACCTCTGAAGCAACACATGTCATCCACTTTCATCCCACCCCAAACAAAATCCAGACTCCAGACCCCACTTGCCCGCTCCCTCCTCCCTCAGCTTCAAAGGGTCCTGAGCTTTGACTTCTCCAGGCCGTCCAAACCTTGGCACTGACTGTCGTCTGCTGGAATAGCGCTTCTCTCTGACTCCACTGGCCCCTCAGTCTCCACTTAGTCGTCACCTCCAAGAAGCCTTCCTTGACTTCTAGACTAGGCCAGGATACCTCACCTTTGTGTTACCAGAGCTCCCGCGTGCCCTACCCATCAATGAACGCGTAGTGGGGGACAGGTGTTGCTCACCCTCATGTTCGGCTGGAACCGATCCTCCAGTACCGACAGGGCGGCGTCCTGGCCGGAACCTGCAAGTAGGAGGGGCATCTGAGGTCAGTCGTGGCCACCCGGCCGGGGGACGAACGTGAGGCCTGGGTCGCAGGCCCGGGATTCGTGGGGAAGGGGCGGAAGCGCTCACCCAGGGCTGTGAAGGGCAGACGGCTGTAGGAGCCGTGGGGGTGCACGCTGTAGAGCTGCGGTCCCGTCAAGTCTACTCCGCCCACTATCAGCGACGCGCCCACGTGGCCCCGGTACCTTTTCACGGAATGGGCGTGGTCAGCCCCAAGCCCTGGGCTTCAGGTCCCGCCCCTCCGTGACACCGCCCTCGGACCCGAGCCCCGCCCGTTCTTGTGGTCTGGCGCCCCGGTACTAACATTGCTCCTTCCTGTTGCCCAGTTCCTCTTAGGTCGGCCTTTTCCGGTCTCCGGGGCTCTCGCAGCCCCGCCCTTCCTCCTGTCCTTCCTCCAGTCCCACCTCCTCTCAGTCCCGCCCTCCCTACAGCGGCCCCTCTTCAGGGTCATCTCAGCCCAGCCCCAGCACCGGAAGAGCGTCTGGCGCAGAACGCGCGTGACCGTAGCCACGCGAGGCTCCCGGCCCGTGGACAAGGCGTGTAGCTCCATGTTGGACGCCGCCAGCCGCGTGGTCATTTCGGCGTCCGCGGCTACTCCAGCCCCACAGCAGCTGAGAACGAAGAGGGGGGCCCGTGTGGGCGGGGCTAAGACCTGCGGGGACCGGGGATGGGAACGAGGGGCAGTTCTTGAGTGGGGAAAACGGGTTGGGGATTTCTCACTAGATTTTGGGGGCGATGAAGTGGATCTTCTCGCAGTTCTTGTCCATCACAACCGAATCGCTAGTGGCCCGCGTATCCGCGCCCAGGATGACCCCATCCTGGGGAGGGAGAGGGGCCGCTGGCTCAATGCCTATCCGATCCCCCAGCAATCCCCTCTAAACCCTCCAGTCCCAAGTCCCTGCTCACTCGGAACACAAGGCCCGCGATGGTAGTGCCGGTTCTGTGTGCCTGAGGGATCCGGAGCCCGGGGAGGACTCGTTCTAAGGAAGCATTTCTGGAAACGGAGTGGAGTGGCCCAGGTTGGGGGTTCCTCTTCTGGGACCCCATCCGTCACATCCTCCAGCTCACCTCTAGGGGTGGGAGCCTGGGAACCCAAGTCGCCCAGCACACGCTGCCGCCCCTCCGCCACCACCTGGAATAAAGGCCCTGGGGCTTCCACTCCCAGAAACCCTCGTGGAGAACATAGGTAGCACCGCTCCGAACCAACCACCACCCCCATCACCTCTGGCAGTTCTCGAAGGAGAAGCCCCCTCGGGGCTCTAACGCTGGCTTCAGCATCTCGAGGTGGGCAGGGTGGTCCTGGAGTTGGGGGTCTTCGTGCGACCAGAGCGCAGCAAGAAGGGCCAAAGCTGGGTGCTCAGTCAGGCACCCCCCTAGCCCTTCTGACGCGTCTGGCTTTCGGTTTCACCTTTTCTCAGAGCGTGGCTGGCCCCCTTCTGCAGCTTCTCTTTCACTTTCACCTTCACCTCTAGTACTGGGCGGCTTGGCAAAGGGGAGATGTTCTTGCCTGGCTTTCCATCCTGCTCCCTAGTCCTCTGAACAGAGGGACAAATGCCTCCGTCTGGCCATTGTTCAGCAGCTCCTCCCCCTTCCAGCCTTAGCCCCTAGCTTTTCCTATCAGTATCCCAACACTAACCTCAAGTCCCTCAGCCCTAAGGCTGCCACACTGGCCGGGTTTTTGTTACTTGCCTCCCAACAGCATCAAGCATGGCTGCCTTTTGTCCTTTGGCACCCTCTTTCTTTCAGCTCT